TGCAATCATGTCCTCACGCTTTGTGGGGATCCAGTTTAGTGATGATAGCAGAAAACATGCAAGTTATATGCATATCCCTCTGTTGAGTGATATGCATATAACTTGCATATTATATGCATATCACTCAACAGAAACTCTGTTCTAAGTAGAAAGTCAGGTATATATACTCCAGATGATTCAAGTATAGGATTTGAAGAGAATTTTTGAGCAAAACATTCTGCTTTATCAATAGATGTTAACACTTCAAGATTGAGTGTAGAGAGGAGGCATAGTAGATTTATTTACACAATATTACAGAGTTGCCAGTCATAAGAACCACACTTGATGGAGGCTATATGGTTCTTCATTCTATTAGCAAACAAAGACTTCTTTGAGGATATTTTTACAATTATTATGAGCAGACACAAAGAGGCATCTATTGTATTCTGAATTATTATGCTGGTACAGCCAGAAAAAGTGATTCCCATGGGCTATAGTGGCTTTACAAGCTAGTGTGAACCAAAGAGAAGATTGTAGTTTCACTTGACATTTCCAAGAAGGTACAAAACATTGATGTTGACCCAAGAAAAAACCTCTGTGGCACAATTCTCAATACAAAGGTTAAGGCTATCAATTGAAGGGCATCTCAAAGAAAGTCACTAATAATTTTATATTTACAAGTTTATAAAAAATATGTGAGCCAACTAAAATGCAATAATCATTATTTACTATATTATAATGGAATAACTATGAAAACATTTTTTTTTATTCATAAAATTTATAAAAATGTCTGTGAACAAGAAAATTTAAATAAACACATAACTACAAGTATCTGTAATTATAAATTTAAAAAAAATGTATTTCCTGGGCAATTTTTTTACATGAATTCATTAAAATAGCTTGCAAGTGTCTGGACTTGTACTTTTCTTTTCTTAAGAATTGACAAAAAAATGTTAAACACTATTTATTAAACTGTTTCATTACAAGAATAGTGTTTAATAATTTTGTTGCTAATTTTTTAGAAAAAATAGAATGCATAAATCTAGTTTAATATGTTTGAGTTTGATTAAAATTCTAAAAATAGATTTCTAAAACAAAAAATATTGCTGAGAGAGTAAACAGTATGCGTGGTGTCAAGAGAAAAAACATCCTTTTGACACAACATTTTTTGTGGGCATGTATGCTAAACATTGTCAACATCTTTTTAATGAAAATTATTGATAAAATACAATATTCCAACTGAGTGGATACCAACTTAAAATAGAATTTAATTGTAATTTATAGGGAAAGATAAAAATGACATCATTAATCTGCAAAGTTTCCCATTTTAACATGTATAGTTATTAGGTTATTAGAAATTATATACTCACTTAACAAACTTTAGAAATTATCCAAGCATTTTTCTGTTAAATATTTTGTGCCTATTATTATGTCCATGCATGAAACATAAATAAAAGGACAATGTATCAAGTAATCAGTCCAAGGAGTCTGCATGATAATATGAATAACAGACAGATGTAAAAGTCCAAGGTAGAGTCATTCAAAACACTTCATTCATCTCGTCTATTCTGTCATATGAAAACTGTTTTCATTAGAAGAAACTGGAGTAAATAAAAGAAAAAAAAAACTTTTTTGGAAATCAACACAACTATATTTAGAATATAAAAATTTGGGATTTGCACTTTATCTGCTTTCTTATTTTCTTTCCTTTTTCATTGTGGACAAGTTAAATATTTTCACAAGGCTAAATTTTTACACCTACAACCTTCCAAAATTCTTTATCTCAAAAAATTTGTTAGTCAGCATTTGGATGCTATTCACACTAATACAGCATCTTTTATCACATGAATGTTTTATGCTTGGATATCTTGCTCCTTGGTCAACTTTAAATAAATGTATTGATTAACAAAGCATTTTCTTTTCTCTTTCACATGCTATGCAGTTCATAAATATGACCAAGTGTCCAAGCATAAATACAAGCACAAATTTTGTTTTTTTTTACTGAAGTTAAAACATCCTGTATTTTACATTCATTTTAAAATTGATTTTTGGTAGTTACTTATCACTTGTTACTGCCTACCAATTTTGCTACCTGCTACTAGGAGTGGCTGATTGGTTAGAACAACTCACCATAGTCAATTTGTCAAGGAGGTGATTGAAAACCATCCAGGGGGCAAGGGTATGTTTGTTTGTCTCTCTTTGAACTTTGGTCTTTGCAGGTTGTCCCCCACTCTAGATATTTAGTATGAGTGTTAGTCAGATGTAGAGTAGTATTTAATACAAAAGTGGAAATGATGCAACAAAGTGGAAAAACGGTTTTAAGTGACAATGCATTTTTGCAGACATGTGTTAAGTTCAGTGTCTTCAGGTCAGAATAAAAGACAAAACTGTGTGTAAGGAAAATGCATTTTTCATGAGGAGAGAGGCAATAAATTAAATAACCTCATCAGATTTGACAATCAGAAACAGGAAATTGTTTTTTTTTAATTATATATTATAGCTAATGATGTCTGTTGAATTTTAATTCAGCCTACTCCATGTAGATCTCTGTTTCTTTTCTCTATTAGCTCATATATCACATTGTCCTACTATTGTCTTTATGATGATCGGTGAGCCTACATATGATATTAGACGTAAATTTATTGTTGAGAACTGGGAGATTAGCATACTCTCAATGCATTTTCTTCTAAGTGAATCCTTTTATTTCTAATCATACTGACATTTATTAAGATGAACAACAATTTTGACTTAATAAATGTTATTCTGATTACCTGGCAGTTGTGAGTTCAATTTCTGGTCTGGGTAGTTTTGAAAAGTCACATACTTTGGTTCAGTAGATGAAAAAGGATTAAAAACACAAAGGTGAATTGTGGAGCCATAAACCTAATTAAACAGGAAGTTAATGCTTTTAAGTCAAAAATGCAAATGACAAATACATGTTTGTACTCAGGTAGGCTCGGTACAGAACTTCCGTTTCTTTCAACTTAAAAATAAGAAATTCGAATTGCATATTTCAGCCAATCAGAGAACTGCCCACCTAAAAGATTGGATAGCTGTAAGATCCAGCACTTGTTTCTACAAAGTGTATATAAAGGAAAACAGAATTAGCTTCAGGGTCCTTTTTTAAAACCATTGCTCCTGGAAGACACCTTGGTCATTTCTTTGATACATTTTCAAATACCCAACACATAGGACTTGATTTTTCTCAATGATAGAAAAATACTATTATTTTTATACACACAACTACAGAAATATTATACAGTACTTTTCTTTCCATAAACATTCAATCCAAAAACCAGAACACACATAAATTGATCTGATATTTCTTATGAACACTTGTACTGATATTTTTGTACATGATGAATTTTACGCACTCATTAAATACCAAAATTGTTGTAAATTGTTGTTATATAAAATCACTATTATTGAATTTTATTTCCATTCACTGTGTTCTTTTAAATCTATTTGTTGTGAAATTATCACAGAAGCCATAGTTCCACAATAGAGTAAGATATTTGAAAGCATGTAAAGTTTAATGAGAACAATCTAGCCTGTGGATTGAATAAGTGGCCCAGTTTGAAATTCTGAGAAGGTTACTGAGTACAAACACAGACATTTGAAGAAGGCCAGTGGAAACAATGAACAAAATGAACATACTGGTTCAAAAAGCAAGCTATGTAATAATGAGAATTTTTAAGTTAAAAAATTCCTACATTAAAATCAAAGTGAAAGGATAGAGTTGTACAGTGACCAAAAATAATATTTTTTTTCATATAACTACAGATTAAGATATCACGAATATCAAAAGAAATTTTTTTTATTAAATTTTGTAAAAGTTAATGTGGGAGGGTTCAAAGTGGGGTCTAGTTTGATAAATCTATTGTAAATTGATCCTCCAACACACGCCAAAACAAATATACTGATAAGATGTTTTCTTAAAATGTAAAAAAAAAAATATTTTAATTGAAATTTGTAATCTTGAAGACTTAATCAACGGCAATATCTGAAAAAAGAAGTCCAGCTTATGAATTTAAAAAAAAAAAAAATTTTTGCATTTTAAGAAATCACATTGAATGAGCATATTTTGGGGGTCTTGTAGGGGGATCAATTTACAATTAATTTACGTAGCAAACTGGATGACCTCTATTAAGACTTTATAAAATTTAATTTTTTCATTTTTTTTCTTTTTTGTATTCATAATTTTGAGTGCTTGATGAAAAAAAAAAATAACAATTGATTATTTCTGATTGCAGTGCTTATTGTACTAACCAGTAAAAAAATATTTTGAATAAAGTTTCAAATAAATGAACTTGAAAATAATAATAGGTGTGAATTAAAAATCCAAGTACATGTTCTTTGTGAGGGAATTTCGACGTCTAATACAAAAAATAAATAAATGGTTAGTACAACTGAGTAATGAATTTGATTCTCACTGGGTGCTCTCTACTTCCGGGCTGGTGCCACTTCTAAGCTATGCTTAGTAAATCACTATATGTCATTATGTCATTTTTACCGGCTACGCGTTTACTAAGAAAAATATTTATGATCGCCAAAGAATAATTTTGCACCGTTTGCAATGCACCGGCCTTGATACGGATGTTCAGGCAAGTTAAAATTATGAGCTTTCTACGAATTAAATAAATTAACAGAATAATTTAGATTTTGAGCATATTATTTCTTTCCTCTATTTAAAAAAATATTTGTGTGGGATTTGATGAAGAAAATTGGACTTTTAGAGTTATTTTAGTAAAGTAAATATTCACTGAAATTTTTTTTACACCACGAGTCCTCCGTACAAGAAGCCAGATGTCAAGTATTTATTTCCGAAATAGTCGAAAAAACAGGATCAAAAAATCATGTCTTATTTTGTTATTCTTTTTCTTTAAGTTTTTTTAGTGGGATTGTTCTTCGGATTGTAAGTTAGTAAAATACTCATCCTTCAATGTGTAATTTAGTAAAATATTAAAATAAGTGATCTGTATTTATTTACTTTTAAAACTGTTATTTATTCTGGAAGCGACATGTCACAAGAAATGACTGGAACAGAAACATCTGCTACAAGTAAGTGCTTTTGGGGATTTTGCAAACATAAATCTTAATTATTTTATAGTTGAGTAACAATATATGCAACAGATTAAAAAAAAATATCTAATCAGATTCATTCACAATTTCATTTTTTTTTTATCACCCTGGTTTTGGTATATATTTTCACGCATCTAATTAATTAGTCTCTAATTTTATTTTTAACTTTGTACTTTGAGTTTTCTTTTCTTCTTTACGCCTGTTTGATGACTGAGATCGTTGTATATTTTTTCTCAAATGCCGGTAGTAAAGATCTATTCGGTCGACTAATGTAACTACATGATGAATATTCTCTGTCTGTAGTTTGTTCTAATCAGGAAAGTACGGTTTTTTATTTATATTTTTTTTTTGGAAGAAAAAAAAAAATTGAAGAGGAATAAAGAAGAGGTTCTGAAGTTGTGGCTCGATTTTTACAATTACATTGTCTTTAACGTCAAATTGGCCCTGACTTTGTGTCTGGCATATCGAAATCGAATGTTTCTATCTTTTATGCACTAAACCTGATTCTGATAAGAAAATGTTTTTAATCGATTCTGAAAAGTAACAATTTCACAATTGGGACAGAAGACATTGTCCAAATGCACTGAATGTTGTTTATAAACTAGAACAGATTTTGGGCCGTCTTCTTTGAACCTTTTGATTTGATAGTATCGAAGAAGTCAATATAACAACAACGTGTTCCATCCATGATACTCAAGGGAACTAACCAAATTTGCTCTGCTAAAATTTCGGTTTGTTCCCACTGAATTTTGTTTTACTCTCTGGAAGAAATTCTATGCCAAGAAATACAGATAATCTAATTAAATATATATATAAAAAATAAAATAGAAAATGCAGAAGACGAGAAAACGATAATATCCATATTTTCGAAACGAGAGACATTCAGAAAAACACAAACACCAACGTGGTTAAAGTCATGGTCTATTTTTTTGTTATATTGTATTGAACAGTCAATACTCGATATCAAAATGACGGACACAAAGTCAGGGTCCCATTTGTCATTCTATGTGTATTGTAAATCAAACCCCTACTTTAGACTTCGTTCACTTCCACTTTGATTTTCTTGAGTTTCAAAGAAAGAAATCTAATTTTCATAAGTAGCAGAACAAATTACATTAGTAAAAAAAAAAAAATTTTTCCTTGAAATTTTCTACTTTTTTAATGTGGTCTCTCTTCAGTGTGAAGAGCAGTCGTGGCTGGACACAAATTCCTTTTATGTGAATCAACATGACTTCTTGGAGCAATTTCCTGTTGCCTTTGCCACATTCTTTAATTTATGCTTACTTTTCCTTGATTGGCTGCCATCCATAGCTAAAGAGACCAATTTACTGTTAATGCCTTTCCTATGAATATTAGTGTGAAAGTGAGACTGGACCAGAATTTGAAGTTGTTTCACGATTAAACTTTATGCACTGATGAATATTATTACACTACCCACAATTCATGTTTTAACTTAATCCTGACAGTTTATGGAGATGCCACTCTTAAACGTTGCTAAATATCCTCACCAGCCCTATGCTTGACTAATCAATATTCAGGAAGTCTTAATGGTTTGTAGCACCAGGGTTGGAGGGAAAATTGAATCAGCAAACCCAAATTGAGTTCAAATTTGGGCTAAAGCTGCTTCAGGAATTTTATTTATGCACTTTGCAAAAGCATGAAGTCACTTCTCCCTGTGTTCTGTCCATAACCAGATACCATAGCAAAAAAAATCTCATTATTGATGAGCAATGATAGTTGACAGAGAAGAGAGTTGGTGAGTAACAAACCACTCTCTTTATCTCACTTGTCCAGACAGCAGTAACAATTTTTAATAAAAGCTGTTACTTGGATAGTCAATATTGACAGTGTTAGGAAACCAATAAGAATATTTATATAACACTCAGTATAATTATTGCTACAAATGGCATTATTTCTTAGATTTGCTTTATAAATAGCATTAATTATTTGAATTTCTTCATAATTACTGTTTTAAATCACATTATTTCTTCAAATTATTTCATAATTCAGTCAGTTAAATGCTATACATGATACATGCTTGGGTGATGATGTCTATTTCGATTCAGGACTGACTAAGCAGAAGATTTTCCTGCAGTAGGTTTCTGCAGTAAACTGGTTACCAACTAAGGCTATAGAACCCTTTCTGTCTGTCCTGCTATAAAACCTACAATTGGGGCAGAAGAGATGGATTCATACCTTTCCCATAGGTATTTGCACACGAGTGAATGTAACAAACCTGAATGGAATTCAAAATCGGCTCTTGTTGTATCTCGTGTTTTCGAGATAACAGAGAGAAATAAATAAGACAAATTTGTAGGTAATTAATGAAATAGAAGATTTACTACACCAAGGTACACTTAACAAATGACCTAATGCTAACTGTCTTCAACTCCACTTAACTCCATAAATGGACAATTCCATTCATTTATGTCCTATGTGATAGCTTTACAATTTTTCATTCTGAGCTGATATCCATTACACCACAATGCACTTTATAATTACAGTTTTAAATAGCATTATTTCTTGGAATTACTTGATAACTGTTGCTTATCTAACACAAATTTTACTAGGTATTTTTATACTTTCACTATTTTTTTTTGTTTTTTGGTGTGTTTTTGGCTTAAAAAATAAAACCAAAAGACCTCAGTATAATATAGTGCCATGCATAGTTATAAGATCAGTTGAACTTTTAACATATCAAAGTTGATTTTAGCTGATTTGACACTATTATAAATTTTTGTATACATATACATATACATGGGAAAGCTTTTCTGCAAATCATCAGCAGTCCCATGACTGGGTGTGGTTGTAGGGTCACTGCATAGCTGAATATCTGACCAGCTCTCTCCACATGTCTTGGTAGGTATCCATTCATGTTTAGTATGTCTTGAGCAAAGTAAACCTGGTGGGGCTTGTCCCTCTCTCAGTCAAAAAACAGCCACTATCCTCTGACTTGAAAGTTTGCCTTGGTCACAGATATGTCGCCATTGATTCCACTTGAGAAAACTTCCACCCTGGCCATTGAATTCAGTTTAGAAAGCCCTCTAGCTAGCAGTATTATGTCATCACCATTATGGATATATTGCCAATAGTTGAATCCCATGTGCAGATTTAGCCTACAACCAGCTGAAATTCACTGTAGTTATTTTTGGCATGGCTCTATATTACTCAAAAAAAAAAATAGACAAATGTATAGAATTTCTAATGGGCAAAAAAAATTGAATGCCATTGTTGTGAACTAAGAAGAAAGTGTTTAGCTTTATTCAACTTAGATAACTGCGAGATTGTTAACAGAACTCTTCTATGATAAAGACTATGGCTTTCATAGCTTGTGTTAGGAGTAATATCAGTAAGTGGAGGTGGTGGTGAGAGTAGAATAGCAGTAACCATGACAGCCATTGCATTGCAATGATGTCAAATATTATGGTAGATTCGCTCAAAGTGTTAAACCCAAGCAAAAATGTTTTTTTGATTAAAAATATTTGTCAAAAAGAATATGGACATGTTTTTTTAAAGATTGTTGAAAAGATAATATTAACCAGAACATTAGTCATAACAAAAATTCTTGTAATTAGTCATGTTTAGGTCAGTAACAGACATTAAAAAAAACAAAACAAAAACAGCTGTTGTGAAATTATAAGGCCAAACACAATGGTCTCAGAGCTATAACATTGACTTTATGAGTTGGCCAGAGCATTTTGATTTCAATCCAATTGAGAACCTGTAGAGTGTTCTTCATTGTGAGATTGTTTGGAAATCATATCAAAATCATTCAAGATAGATGTGAATAACAATGAAAGGATCAACAAAATTAACTCTAGATGATTAATATGCATAATGATATTAAACTGACCAATTCAGACTTGTCTTTATCTGAATGGAATCATCTACAGACGTCTGCCCATGTTGTGTGTTCCAAATAGATCAAGCTATAATAATGACAATTCTTCATGTCAGAAATTTTAAGATCAACAAACATATTTTTGAGATTTACCTTCATGATTTACATTCAGTCTGATCTCCTCATCTTTGTTATTATTATCACAATTTTTCCACTGTTGTGCTCTCTGGTCTTCAAGACTATGTCTCTTGATCACAGTCCAATAGTCCAGTGTATTAAAGAGTTGGTTTGTGAACTTGGTGACAATAATTGTGAGTTTTATCCCTAGGCCAGGTCGTGCAGTTTAACAATAACTGAGCAATATTAAGTAATAAGAGAAGATATGCAGAGACATGAAGAGGGTAACGAGAACAGTCTACCCCTGTAGATTAAATAAAGTGTTCAGTTCAGAATTCCTTGAAGGTCACCCAGATTAACAGATAACTGAAAAAAATGGCAGAACAACCAACAACATTGTGATAATAACAAAACTGAAGACATTAGTTCAAATGTAAATAATGTAAACTCCTCAGACAGAAATTTACTTTCATATTTAATGTTTCATAACTGGTCAACAGTCAAGAATCTTGGTCAGTTATATGACCATTTGGAGATGGGATTGGATTTGTACTCTTAATTAATTTTAAGTAGTGCTTAAAAAAAAAATTGTGTGTGTGCATAAGTGCATGTGTGAGTGTGTGCATAAGTGCATGTGAGATGATACGAGGGTGGATTAATAATTTTGTGGGCTGACGCATTAGTGGAAATTTGGACTGAAATTTTCACTTTGTTATTGGTGTTGCCTGAGGTTAGTTATATATTTATAAAATACTAGCAGTAGAGCCCAGCGTTGCCTGGGGATGTAACAGTAAGAGATAGATCAAGTATCGACCATCATAAAGACTGAAAAATAAAATTGACAAAGATTATTGTTTAAGGTTGACAGACACGCATGTCTTAATTAGTTTTTTTTTGTTTGTTTTTTTTTTATGAATTAGTCAAACTCAAACAAAAACATTGTTTTCAATCATTATGAGTCTATCGATTGAATAGAATTTTATTATAAACAATTGTCTTGTAAATGGAATTTTTAAAGCATTCTGAATGTAAAAATAAAGAAAAAAGTGTGCAAGACAATAAGAAACACTACCTGCCAAAAAAAAGTGAAATTTTGTTGAAATCTGTTGAAAAATGTAGGAAATCCAATCCCATATATAAACGAAAACACACACACACACACACACACACACACACACACACACACACACAACCTGGGTTTTATAATAAGTATAACTCGATATGAGTTGTCCCCCTTTCATTCTGGTGACAGAATCTTGTTTTATTGTGTTTTCAAATTGATTTTGTGCAAAAACAATTGTTTTTCCAATTTTTGGTGCTGTCAGAACCACTGCAAGGTAATTTTATGTAGTCTTGTGAAGTTTTGTTGAAATCGGTTGAAAAATGTAGGAAATCCGATCCAATATATAAACGTACAGACACACACACACACACACACACACACAATCTACGTTTTATAATAAGTAAGATTTATTTTTGTGATGTTGGATGGCTTCCCTTGTCACTTTTGTTATGCCAAACAAAAGTTCATTATCACTTCAAAAAATGCTTGTTATATTTGAGACTTTGTAGATGCCGGTACCAGTAGTAATGGTTTCCAGTAATATCTGCACTAGTAATACTTGTTCAAGTAGTAATTGCCAAATAGTATAATGATCTGAAGAGAATTGTAATCCATATAGTAGAGAGAGTGAACGTATAGCAATAGTGGCTAGACAAGAAGAGTGAACAGTGATCATATAGTCATCATGCTACTTCCTATTTATTCACTTCCTTTACCATCACATGATCTACTTAATAATGGAATTTTACTGATGAGCGGTGAGTGGATATCATCTCAAAGAAGGACTAAATAAGTGAATGTTTAATTTTATTTCTCTATCTGTGTATGTGTGTATAAGTATAGATATATGCTATACTAACTGGAAAAAAATCTTAAAAATAGTTTATATTTTTAAAAAATCAATTGGATAATGTTTTATTCAGGAAGCCAGTTAGTTGTGTGACCTATGTAACTGTATTGTTTCTTATTACTATAAACATTATATTTAGTGATTACATGTGTTACAACACTTTTTTTTTTTTTATTATTATTAACTGTGTAGTTGACATGTCTGTACAAGCAAATTTTTCGTCAAGATCATTTGTCTCTTACACCTTAAGTGGGATATACTTTAGACCAGATCAACTCCTCTTCCAACATAGGATCCTTATTGACATTAGATTCAATTCAGACTCTGGTATCTCCTGGCCTGACTCATATACTACATATGTGGTTAAAATCATTTCTGTGTTTTAAAGTATCAAAACCTCTTTAAAATCATTTCCACAAAATAGTAATATTCAAATATTGTTTATCTTCTTTGTAACATGTAACCTGACTTTTGTAATTTTAATCTCATTTCAGTCTGATATTTTATAATTTGACTCATGACGAAAGAGTTGTTTTTTTTTCTTTTTTTTTTCCATGAAGCAATCTTTAAAAAAGAAATACCTTTTGCCTTAATCATAACTTTGTTTTGAATTTTTTTGTAAATCATAGCCCCTTATCTAAAAGATGTATTTTACATTGTAGCCAATCAAGGTTGCCTTACAGTTTGACAAAGTGCACAAATGATGCTTGATTCCGGGTTCCTGCTACTGTCATGGCCATAATTCAAATCCCATTGGATGTCAGCTATGGATTACTGTCCCTTTTTACCACTATTTTACACAACATCTTCCTTCTGTATCATGTTGACATGTTTGTGTCTGTCTACAAAATTGACAAGGTCTCCTTTTGGATTGGGGAGACGGTCTTTCTCATATGGAATTCTTTCAATGACCCGCTTTTTGGTTGGCTTAGTGATTACCAGTACCTGTCACAAAGTCCAACTGCATCTGCAACAATGCCTCAAAACAGCTCTTCTTGGACCCGTAACAAATGCCAAGAATGGTGTGCAGCTGAAACCTCGCAAAATCCACGGCTGCAAGCAAAGATGAATTACGACCCAGAGAAAGGTGAAAGCTACTGGACCTATACTAAAGAGAATAATTATGGGAATGGTATTCATGATCCTGGGGGTGATTCCTTACCATTCTTAAAAAACCAACAGTCACACTTGGGGCACTCAACTGAGAGTTCTTCTTTGAACAGTGTAATTGTATCAAAACGTTTGGACAACCTTTCATGGAATGGGCCACTACTGGCCATGTCATTTCTGCTCTTTTGGGTTCGTTGGTTTCCAACAGGACTGCAGTTTGTCATCTGCTTGTGTGTCTATGACAGTTTTTTAACCATGGTTGATCTGCAGCACTCGGCATTACTCGCAGATTTGGCCATTTCAGCTGAGATACGGACTCGTTTGAATGCTCGCAGTTCTCTGTTCAGTGCTATCGGATCTTTGTCTGTATTTGTTTCATATTCCATTTGGGACCGCAATAATCTTGATTCATTCCGAGCCTTCTGTGTTCTACTCTGCATCATATCGATAACAGGTTTCTACTTTGGCACAAATCTGCTGAGAAAAGCCGCCCTCCCTCCGAAATATATTAACAATCTTCAGCAGGATGATTTCTGTAAACGGGTCAGGTAAGTATCCTATTTCTTGTTTTGTTGTGTTCTTTCTTTTTTTCATCTGTTTTTTTTCCCCCCCCAATCTGTATCACCCTAAGCAAGGCAGTAAAGCCACTAAAACACAGAGGGTTACAAGGTGTAGAAGAATTAGGAGCAGAAACATTAATAATGAACAGAAAGAGAAAAGAGTAATCAGGAGGACAGTAGATAGTGATTGACATTGCATTTAATTTTTTGCGGATTAAAGTTGGCTGGAAAGCATGGAGCCGGAAGAGAGTTCCACAAGTAAGAAGTGTGATAAAAGAAACTGTTAGCATAGAACTTATGGTTACATGTAGTAAATTGATGAGGTCTTATATGAAAAGTATAATTATATATTTGTTCCCCACAACTCAATGTTATACAAAATTTCCTACACATAGCAATTGTTAGGCAAAAATTAAAACTGTTCAACTTAACACTTCTTTATTTATAAGCTACTGGCAAGATAATGGAGTAGTTTATTTTCATATGGAAAAAAATAAATGAATAAATAAAAAATAAATGTAAATGAAAAAAATACATATACATGAGGGTGGTGGCAGTTCTGAAAGTCAATCTGGCTCAACATTTTTCAGTAGATATCTATCTTTATCTACATGTAACCATTAATTAATTTCTATTATCAATACATTTGGGTTAACTATATTTTATAGTATGGTAAGTTTTCTATATTTTGTAGTATGGTATGTTTTTACAAAAGGCAAAGATTATGCAATAATGATGCATAAATTTTTTTATATATATCAACAACAATTTTAGTGAAATTGATAAATCTATTATCACAATGTAGGATATTTAATAAAAGTGAGGGAAACATGAACAAAAAGAAACTAAATGAAATCTGCTAGATTATATATCCAAAATACATATTAAAAAAATATTTTTAAATTTAAAATTCTCAGCATCTCTCTTTCATTCATGTGCATGTGTAGTGACATCAACGTAAATATAAATTTACTCCAATGAAGTTCAAGGGATGAAATATGTCAAAATTGTTTCCACTTTGTCATGCTTCTTTCCTCTAATAATGTATGTATGTATTCTTTGGCGAAAGATTAAAAGTTTGCTTCATTTCTTCCTTCTAGTTACAAATTCAGTGCCCCCAAAAATTCACCCGGAACATCTGCACTGAAGAAATACATCAAACAGTTGACGTCACATCGCAATTTTTGTTGGTTTGCTGTGATGAATCTTGTACAGGTAAGTCTTTCTAGGCCTTTTTGTTTATTTATTTATTTTTTTAACTAATGTTCACCCAATAAAATACCCAAGAGCCACTCAAGGTAGATGGTTATTGAATGATGTATGAGAAGAAGAGGAGGAGTTAAAAAGTGCAGTTTATGAAGTTATGTAAGCGATAACTGTTAACAATGGACTTGTAGAGGTTAAGATTGTAGTGATTGGGAAAGTATTCTCTCAGGAGTCTGTTCCACAAAGTAGTATTTGATTCCTTGTATTGCTCCAGAAAATACTTAGTTTCTGTTGCCATATGCTATCTTCACAAGAATCAGATCAAACTAAGAATGGAGCATTGCCGCCATATCTAGGCTGGTACTGCTCAGTCCTTACTGTTCAGCCTGAACAGAGTTCAAAGGCATTTATACACCCTTGTGGGTGATGAATTATTTTTCACCTTGCAACTCTTATCCCACGGTTGAAACATTGCTAGTTTCTCACTACTCTGTCACTATGACTATAGTAAATGTTCAAACAAGTTCAATTCCTAAGTCCCACCAGTTCAAGCCTTCACAGCCAGGACCTGCCATGTCACGTTCATGGTGGCAAACTATCTCCATTCCCTTCATGTTCCTTTTGAAAAGGAGCAACTTCCACTCATACAGCTTCTTCCCTAGAACTGTTACTTTGTGGAACAGACTCCTGAGAGGATGCTTCTCTGAACACTTCAATCCTAACTTCTTAAATATAAATAAAATAAAGTATCAATCAAGAAATTTGGACAACTTAAGACTAAGCAAAATAACAGGGCAGACTTGGCTCTCTAGACTTGGGTGGCAGTCTTTCTAAATGAAAGACCATTCGGAATTCAAAAAAATGGAAAAGAACAGAAAAACAATTCACTGTCCTTCCCAAGAGTTGTGGCAACTGGCAGATAATAAAGGAAAAGAATTTGTGGAGAACCATAATTTCCCTCATGAACAGACATGGTATTTAAAAAAAAAAAAAAAAAACTAAGACAATTTATCTCAATATGTCCATAACTAAAACAGAAATATAAACAACTGAAAAAACAAAAAACAAATCCCTTTTTATTATAAGAATATTTTACCCAAATTGATTTGCTTAAGTAGTTGAATAGAAAAACATATAGAATATATGAGATGCAGTTTCAAATCCTGTTGTAGGCTACATTTTTATTTGTTATTTCTGTTTGTTGCTATTTACTTGATGGTTGTAGAATTTAATAATAAAATGTGATAAAAAGGAAATATAATATATATATATAAGGAAAATAATCAAAATTAATAATGAATAACTTTTTCAAAGAGAAAAAAAAATTTTTTTACTTTATTTTATTTCATTTATTTATCACCAGACATTACGTTTAACCCATTTGAAGTGAGAGATGAAAAATAAGGGATGTATCCAAATGAAGTGACTCGCCACAAAATCCTCATCAATGATAATAGATTCTTCAAAGTAAAATAAAAAAAAAAAATAACTTTCTTCGTATCTGGTTTTTTAAAGAAAATGTAAGGGGAAGTAACTCTTTTCTTATCAAACTGACATCTCTGTTAAGAGTAAGATTCTGTTAAATATATTTTGATTAAAATAAAAATTGCTGTTGTTTTTATTATATCTCTTTTTTTATTGACTGATAGTTTACAAGAATTTATAAATAATCATAAGAGTTAATTAACAAATAAACATGACTTCACAGTCGCAAAAATAATTGAGGTTTCAGCACTAAAGTATCTGATTGTGTAACTCATACTCATAAGTTTGTATAAAATAGAATAAAACACTGAGAAGATGCTTCATCATAGAGTAATAGTTAAGATGCTTTTGAAAACCTCACAATATTTTTCACACTGTGATCTTAATCCAGACTAAAGTAAGTGAATTAAATTATTAGCAGTTCTGCCCAATTATCCTTTTGGATGTCAGATAACAACATTACATAATCTTTTATGGTCCACGGCTATAGTCGCAGCTTTTAACCATGTTGAGCTTCTACTTCTGAATTCTTGTACTTGTATGGCTTTTAGGCTCCTTCTGTTATCATCCATGTTACTGTCTTCCATTGATTAGTAGCCAGTGAAGCAAGTTAAGAGCAGAATAAGATATGTCTGTTCTCGGTAACTACCCAAAGAATTGCAGTTTTTGAGAATCTACCTCTTCTCATTGATTCAGCAATATTTCAGGATTTTACTGGTTGAACTTTACTGGTCATACATTCAACACCACATTCCTTTTTAAACCTAACCTGGATAGAAACCCCAAGTAAATAATAGTGAAATAAACTTTAAAAATGACATCTGTTTACTTGATTTCTTAGACCTCAAACCATACTTCGCTCTGTTATTTGGAGTTAAGAATACGCTGACGGCATCTCCGTGAAGAGAGGTAAACACCCCCAAAAAGGAGACCACCTGTTTACTGTACCTATATTTACCTTCTTAACTCTTGGGTAAACTGAACTTGTGTCCACCTTTTTTGCCCCTTGTGCAAAATGAACCCATGTCTACTTTATTTATGGTAATGACAGGATTTGGCATTAAGTAACCTGGTAAAACTTGATATGCCATAAAACACAAGAATTTGTTCTAATTCAAGTTGCACCTTGATTGCACCTTTTAAAAATTGTTGTTTTCCTAACATTTTAAAAATGATGTCTGTTTATTTTGTTTCTTAGCATTGTTGTAATATGTGAGATTGTGGAATAATGAGTTTGCTGCTTACATAAACACCTAATTCAATAACCAGTCATGTCATTGTGATCATAATACACCTGGAAAATCACTATAAATAAGAAAATAAATGTAAAGGTAACATCAGATGAAAACCCAATTAATATTTACAATTGTGGGAAGGGCAGAGGTTTAAATCCAAAATCTGAAATCTAAGGTTGTAATTTCAAAGGTCATAAATCAGTCTTGCAAGTCCAAAGTAAAAAAAAAAATAAAAAAAAATACCAGGGGCGTAAATCAAAAAGAAGTAAAAAATAAAATCCATATCCATGCCTCGCAACATACAACTACCTACTTCACCCATAAAGAACAGAGAATACTGCTGTTGCCAAAATTAGTGTTCTTTCATCAGCATGAGAAAGACTGTGTGATAGGTTGAGACTGAAAAAAGTATCATATTTTGAGGCCTTACTAAAGTAGACCTAATCTTTTGTTTGTTTTTTTTTTTCGACAAAACAACACAGAGAACACAAATTCTTTTTTGGCAAGACTTGATTATTCTCCTTCATCACCACAACAATAAACACCAGAAAAAAACAAAACATAAAGCTGGTTCACTTTCCTGATCAAATAGAGAGGACCCAGAAGTGACCTCCACCTCTAGTCTTTGGTTTGACATTTTCATATTGGTTTCCTCAACCTACTTTTTCATGTTTATTCCTGGGTATGACACTGAACTATATCTGGCAGCAAGGCCTCTGATCAGGCGATTGGAGATTTTGAGGAGTTTGGAAACACCTCTTAATTGCTATTGTTCCCAGGTCCATCCTGACCTGGGGTGGTAGCACCAGCTATGGATAAATAGTGAAACCCTAAACAAAAATCAAAACATTTGGAAAATATAAAAATATATTTTAATAGTAAAAGTACCAACAATACATTATTATAGCAAAATTGAAGAGATAGCATACATTGTCAATTCGCCATGATTAGTCTTATTTCTTGTAAAGGGAAACAAATGTTCACTCCTTGTTTGATTTTGTAGGATTATTTGATAAAAATAAAAAATGCAGCTAAGTAATTATAATTTAATCATGAAATAATGACATTCTCTTTAATTAATTATAAAGTTTGAATTTTCATATTTAGACTTCTTCATTAAATAACCCATACAGTTTGATGTCCTACTGTAAAGAAATAGGTTTATATCAAAATATATAACACCTATAATTGACAATCTATATATCTAAATCACACATTTACTCTGAGAGTATAAAATTATGTATGAAGATATGAAGTTGAGCCATAAAATTGCATTCAAAATATTTAAATTTTGGCATTAAATAACCCATAGAGGTTGATAAACAAAAACAACCAACAATCTTTCATGCTGGCTTAAGACAACCAGGAGGAGAGTGTAATACTCTGATACATGGGAAGATTTATACACAAGTAGGCTTTTTAAAGGTGTACCAGATACCAACCTGGAATTTATATCCTGATGATATGTTGTTTATATCCGAGATTTTCTGTCTTCTTGACTGACTGTTTTCGCTATAGTTATGAAAGGAGATCATGATAATAAATCTTAGAAGAACTAACAAGTCCAATTTACTTGTATTTTGGGGTTGATGCCTGTAGTTGAGACCAAAACAGTAGCAGCAGTTTGGTGTACTGATTGGGCAAATTTGATATCTGCTTGCTGGTTATAAAACAGGTTATTAATGATAACACATTGCTCTCCAGGCTGTAATTGATTTTTTGTTGTTTTTCCAGGTTTTTCATTGTCACTTCAACAGCAACTTTTTCCCCCTTTTTTTGGATGTTCTTTTGGGTACTCATGGGACATCTCTTGGTGCATTACTTCTTGGTAAGTTTTTATTTTTTTTATACAGAAGACATTAAGGAAAAAAAAGCTACGGAGGAATAACTGCAAAACATTCCAGCAAGTTCTGTTTCTAAGTTCATAGTAGAATGATTGGTGTTTGTGAAAATAAAAGTACATATGTTACATATTTTGAATAATAGATTAAAAGACAATGATTGGTAGGTGTTACTTTGTTGAAAGCTGCTTTAAAAGTCATTAAAAAGAAAGCATATGTAAATAATTGTTAAGGCATATTGGCATAAGAGAATATTAGTGGAACAGCCAGTTAGAAGTTCTTTATACACTGTAAATACTTAATAAGCTTAGTAGAAGGCTAAAAAATAAAATGTGGGTAACGGTAAGTGTAGATTGTGGTAGTTAATTGCCAATATCTTGTCTCATTTTGTCGATGATGTTGAACAAAGACACAATTGGATGTGTGTCTCAACAAGCCATTTAAAGATCACATTTGAGAACAGTTGAGTGAGTGGATGGTTAGTGGAGAAAAGTTGTTCAGGCTACCAAAATAGCCTACTGAAAATATGGCACCGACTCATGAGGTATTGTGGTAGTTAATTGACAATATCTTCCCACCATATTTTTCATTAGAATTTCAGAGAAAAGAAAATATATGCTTACTGAATTTCTTAAATAAATTCAATACAATACATTTTAAAATACAATTTGTTGGGATTAGTCTTGCATGGCAAATATAGCTTGAAACTTACATTTTAACTTGAAAATTTGGGTGTTATCTTATATGCCCAGTCACCTTGTATGCCAGCATATACAGCGTATGTGTGTGTGATCACATGTTGTTTATGCATTTCCACAGTTTTTATCAGATTTCAATTAATTTTCTTTTGTTTGATAGATAATTCTTCAGTGACAGTTTTGAGTCCACATTGTTGGCAACAATGGCCCTCCACTACTTCCTGTCCATTATAACTCACAGCAACGTTTTACTATTTACTATATGTTCTTATATATCTTTCATAAAAAATTTAATAAAATAACTACTTTAATTATTACAAGAATATACATATCTATAATTCTCAAAATGTGCATGTGTGTGTGTGGATGTTGTTTATGCATTTCCACAGTTGTCATCTGATTTCGATGAAATTTTTTTGTTTGATAGATAATTTTTCTGTGCTGGTTTTGAGCCCCAATTACACATTCCCTTTCTCTTGGCCAAGGTTTTAATCTCTCAAGTGAGGTTACCTTTTCCATTGCATAAAGCCTATGACTACAGTTTTAAGGTGTTGCTTTCATTGTCGTTGATAGCCATTCTCAATTTAAATTTTTTATTGTCCTGCTAGTTTTTGCATTGCATTCACCATAGTAATAAGTAAGCTTGCTTTTTTTATTACTCAACATTTATTTTTCCAACCTTTCCTAAAGTTATTCGAGCTTAGTGATTCCTATAGCTTTACAGCGTTCTCTTCTGGTATTTGCCCACACATTCCATTTGACAATTCATACTTGCCTATGACATTTAAGAAAAGAACTTGTCTAGTTTGCAAAACTGCTGCCACCAGGTCCGTTATGCAAATAAGGGATAATGAATTGTCTTTAGAACATTCAGTTTACCTGTCTTAAAATGCCTCTCGCAATGCTTCAATCAGAGCCACTGAGTCTGAAGATCAACATAGCCATCGGCTTTCCAGAAGAGCATACTTGAATGCTTCTGCACGCGAGGCTGAAAATGATGATCAAAGGACTTAACAGCTGAGGAGAAACACCTCTTCAACAGCTACTGCATGTGAGGCTGAAACAAGATTGAGAATGCAAAAATGGCCCTTTTCAGGCCCCTCCATTCAAATTGTTAATCACCCCCATTTGGGGATGTGCCTCAGTTGCATCCAATTGTTGTTATTAATATTGATTTTCGGGTGGGCTGACTTAAACTGCTCCAATTGAATGGTAAAAATTCCCAGTAATGAAAGACCTGGTTAAAGATGGGTTATACTGCTAGTATATTAATAAAGGTGAAACATGTTAGATTGAAATACATTTCCTACTTGTTCTTTTATTTTATCATCTTGTCGGATTCTTATCCATATCTGATCTACATTTGATCTTCAACTTGTATATATATCCTAAAAAGTTTTATTAAATTCAGCTGACAAAGCCTTTTTTTTTCCAATTTTTAGATAAGATCGTTTATATCAGAATCAAAATAGTAGATATACTGTCTGAATTGTATATTTGTTCTGTTGTTTTTGTTCAAGTACTTTCAACTGTATCCAACATTATCAAGAATAGTGTGTGTACTGTCAGTCAGGTAGGCAAGATTTTGTTAGTTATATTTTAGTATTTTATTGAGAGATGAAATGCATATTTTATACACACTTCATGGTATTTTCTTTAATGTGGAGTGTTTACTCTCCTGATTCAGCATGTGGTGTGGCATAGATGTAAACAGGAGGCAGATACCAAGGTATTATCCATTTTCAGAAATCTGAGACGAGTAACGCAGAGTTAATAAAAAAAAATACAGTAGATTTAGAATGTTTGATTTCTTTCTTTTTTTTAATATTCCTTCAGGATGTACACAATCATAACTCTGGACAGTTTCCTTTTCTTTATTTTCTGGGAATGCATTTTTGGAAATGTCTATTGAAGGAGTTTCCTTATTTTTAGACTGGTTGTCACCCAAAGCTAAATAATCCAGTCTACTCTACTATTTAATTTATAGCTGTAGGGAGAAGAAATGGATTCATTCCTTTCCTAAGGGTATTTTTGTGAAACTGAATGCAACAGACTAGCCTAAAATTTAAATTCAGTGTACTGGTATCATTTTTTTGTACCATATTCATTACACACTCTACATATCTTAACATTAGCATTGTGAAATCATCTTAGTTAATTTTTAACTTGGATAAGTCATGTCTCATCTTAGAGTGACATCTTGCACAAATGAAAGATTCCTATTTTAGGCAGCACTTTCCTATTGCACTAAAAGTGGGTGGTCATTGGTTACCTTGATACCTTGTGTAATATTCACCCTTGTTGGACAGTAAATAAATAATATTTAATCACTTAATTTTTAAAAAAATGTCCATATTGTTGAATTAAGGGTTTTCTTTTGAGAAAGATGTACAAACGCATAATGGTAAACGGGACAAATGTTAGTTGACCCAAAAATTCAGTGTGGTTTTCAGTATTACTTTATTTTTATCAGCTTTAAATGAAGATGCACACTTTGAATGTCAACAGTTTGTGCACATTGTTTACTATCAGAAATGTACACCTACAATAGTAACGATAGGAATCATCATGGCAGTCCAAAAGTAGATTGTAAGAGGGATTGTTTTTTTTTTTTTTTTTTTTTGTTTTTTTTGTAGAATATAAAATTAAACGTTGCCTTTGTCAATTGATGTTTCATTAAAGATCAGTAAATATCATTAATTGATAATTTAAATTTGTCGCAATGATGCGGGCATCATTCATTCATGATTTGAGGCTAAATGACTCTAGAATTCTCTTATGTTCATATAACAACTTTGTTAGCACTCTACTTTGAATGGCTCTTTGTCCTTGTATTATGTAAATAACAGTATAAAAAAAATCTTTGTGAACCTAATCTGGTTTGACTCTCTCTGGTTGTCCTAGCTGATGAAAAAAATCTATTTTGAATACTAATTTTCAAGACACTTGAAAGATTGGGCCAACACAAATTCCCTACCCTTATTTCCCATATCCCATAAGGATTTGTGCCTCGTTAAGCTGTGTAAATGATCTTCCTTTTTTTATCTTTGCAGGTACTTCATTTGTTATCCCCCATATCAACAACGTCTACTTTCTGTCACTCTGCAGAAAACATGGTGTCTACCGAATCATTCTTCTTCTGTTCATGTTTAAATTCCTTTTAAGTATTCTCATGCTTTGTGTGGGACCTGGCTGTGTTTGGGCTGTGTGTGTCTATGTTGCAAGGTAAGTGTTTGAGAAATATTCACATAGCTTCTGTGAAATGTTACTATGTCGCAGTGATAGATATTAAAAAGTTTGCATCATGGTATAGAAAACATGTTTAGAGGTTTTTTTGTTTTTTTTCTGGATAATTACGCAAGAACTGAAGCTAAAACTTATGCTGGATATTTTCCATCAGGAAGGTGAAAGTGAGACATGAAGTAACTTTTTTTTTTTTTTTCAAATTACCATACTGACCATATAATTAAAGACAGACATGGTTATTTAAGCTCTACATGAACAGTTAACATTATGAGTAGCTATTCTGAATGTCATTTCAATTTAAGGACTTAATGTGTTTTTTTTTTATATATATTCAACAAATATAAGTATATAATGACTTTTTACATTTTATTCTCTGCTACTTGGAAAAATGCACACAAAAAAAAAAAACTAACTATATACACAATGGGCACATGACTGAGTGGTTAGAATATTAGGATTCCACCCATAAGACACAGGTTTGAATCTCATCATGGTCAGTTTGTCAAGATGGTGACATTGATAATATTGGCCAAGGGAAACAATGCTCAGCATGTAGTACAATTAGGAAGAAACTGAAAACCATATAACAGGTTGATCCAAGTGTTATGAGTGAAATTGGGTAGGAAAAAGTGTTCAGAAGCAATTGATAGTTGTGCTAGTATGAAGTCACAAGTTACCATGACCAAGGGTTTCAGTTTCTGAGTCTTGTTTAATAACTGATCATGCCAGAATATGCACTTTCTCTCCCAGAAAGTGTAAGTATGGTCTGCTTAGCATAGTTCTCACATAAACCACAGGTTAGCTCTATGTGTATGAAAGAAACACAAAAGTGCCTGAGTAATTGTCTGAAATCTGGATTAACTAGCAGACAGCATGTTCAGAAATGAACAGACAGCCATTACTATATATATATATATATAATCATCTGCTCATAGCCTGATTTATCAGATAGTTTCAAAACATGATGAAAGTAATTTTGAACAAGATACTTGTAGAGGTACTTGGTATTTAATTAACAAACAATTATTAGTATGGCGTTCTGTGAATAGAGTAAACACTTACGGAATTATTATTCCATTAAAATATTGGGTTGTATCAAAAGAATTTTCGTTTTTATTTTATTTTTTTTACTTACTTTTTAAGCTGAATATAGGGATCTCGATGATGATAATGTTATGCATGCTTCCACACCTGTTCAGAAATATCTAAACAGCTTTCTCTGAACAATGATTAAAAATGGCTTTGAGAGAAACGAAACATAGGTTTTGGAGAGAACCATTCTTCTTCGAATCTTGTGGACTGGTACTACAGAATCACAAAGAACTGTAGCAAAAAAACAAACTGCTTCACTTGAGGATTTTCAACAACAGCAACAACTAAAATGGATAGCACATATAACTTGAAAAGAAAATAATGATATAATCAAGATGTTGATATTTCACACTCCTTGAAACAAAAGGTTAGGAAAGAAGACGCTTTTTCCTAACAATAAAATGATAAAAATGGACTTGTTTTTCTGAAAAATTGTTTTAATAAAAATATTTTATAAATTTCAACTGGCAGTAGCACTGGCTGTTTGCACAGTGAACGCTAAATATTTCCAGATAAGGAAATACTTAATATTACCATTAACATATGTGATAGCTTTCCACTTCTTTCACTCTTGAGTTTTAAAACATCATAATCAATTGTTGATTGTCCACTTCTGGGCTTTATTTCAATGTTTGGTTATGCTACTATAACATTTGAAGCAAAAGCTACAGCTAGGGAATTTTGATCATATATATATATATATATATATATATATATATATATATATATATATACTAAAATAATCCTAATTTTTTTTTTTTTTGTCACATGGTTATGGTTGTATTTGGTTTTATCAATAAAGACTGTTCTGTATTTTCCTTTTTAGCAGGCTTTACCCTGGAGGATCTGTTTAGGTGAAACCTAGGTAGGTTTGCCTGGCTCCTTAGGATTATTTTAGTTTATCGCTCTACTTAGTGTATTGAGCACTATACGTTGTTGTATTTTTACTTGTTTTGGAGGTTTGTTTTTCTTTGGACTTGGAACTTAACACTTGATGATTGTTTCACGTTGTTTTAATGTTCTTGCTTCTTTCTTTTTTTTTTTCAAATTTTCCTTGGATACCGATTTGTTCTGCTGCAAGTTGAGCTCTCCAAGGTTTTTCCAAACAAGTACTACCATATATATATATATATATATATATATATATATATATATATATATATATACACACACACACACACACACACACACACATTTGATGCCAAAAATGATGCATGGGCATATTAGACCCCCTCCCACAAATTATCTCATGGTCATCAGTTTTTATTACGATACCGACTATGAGTTATCATGGGCTTGGCATTTTCTGATTCTTATCTACAGGCACCAACAATGACTTTATTTGCAGTGATATTGTTTTTAGTGTGAAGATGATGTTAAAATTTAAGATGAAGCTATAAATCAATTCATAAGAAATTTTTATTAAGTTGGCTATTATAAAGTTGGTGCTTGAAGTCAGATTTTGTAACTGACCTTTTACAAGTAATGTGTTAAGCTTATAATATGAAAAGCAAGTTAATAGAATATTACAAAACATTACACATGCACTTGAGCAGTTATATATATATATATATATATATATATATATATATAAAGTAATTAATATTTGATTAAATAACATCGTACAATGTTTTAATGTTGCTTATTGATATTTTTTTTTAAAAAATGAAGACCAAGACATTTCCTACTTCACTGGCAAAAAGAAAAACAATGAATATTCCCTTTTAATTTGCATGAGAATAAAAAGTAAGTATTAGAATAATTACTATTATCTACCTTATTTCCATTGCTGTATTTTGTTGCAGCTGTCCCAATTCAATAAAAAAGAATGTTTGCATAAATTAGAAATCTTATATATAAAGTACAGTGTATGTGTACTTGTGTGTGTCCAAGCAATTCCTCTGCTCACATTGGTCTGATTTCAATGATTCATAGCTCATTCAAAAGTCCTAGAAAAGTTAGGCACAGACAGTGATTTTTGTTGGGCTCAGATTCAAGGTTGCCAGATTATGCAAGGTTAAAAATATATATTATTATATTAGCCATTATCGTTGTTTTCATGGTTCAAGGGGAGTAACTCTTATTTTTCCTATTGTTTTCCAAAATTGCAGTGCATGTTTTATTATAAACTAGCTTAAGAGCTGCCCTATTGGGTGGCATTTAAGCAAGCTCCTGTAGAGGACTTGGTTTGGCCATTATCACAACAGCTCAGGAGGAGTAGATGCGATAGGCATCAATAAACTACAGAAGTACTCAAAATTGATCGTTGCATTTAAATATTGAATTAATGTTTAAGCTTACCTTTTAAAAATTCAATGATAATTCTTCTGCTGCCACTTAATTTAAAGATGATTTGATGTACATAGATCCTTATTTTCCGTACAGACAATTTTTTATTTCATGGGTGACAGAACAGGGGACAATTTATATGATAAAATTAATATAGTGTAAAGATGGGAAAACGGAAATTACAATTAGTTATACATTCGACATTTGAAGAGTTAGAGAAAACATAATAGCTAATTAAGTAAAACCTATATTATGGAATCTGTATGAATAAATGTGAAATTGGAGCACAATTATCCAATGAATTCTGGGGTTAAAAAGCTGCAACTCTACTTTATAGTAATTTATACACAGTATTAACTTCTTCCCCCCACTTGGACGAGATGTGACACAAGGTCTTTTTTAGGTGGGGACCCATACGCGTATGCCCGGGACAAGGACAAAAATTGCCCTCAGCCCCCGCAACCATCGGTTGTGCTGGCCTCAGTGTGAGAACCGATCCCTACCTCTGGTGCAATGGGATGGCGTGGCCTCAGGCAGCTGTTCCCCAGGGCTGGGCACCTCTCAGTATAATTTTCTCAGTTGCCCCTCTGTCCTTAGACAGAGAAGCCCCTGAGCGCACTCTGGCCAAAGACAGAGACGCAACTGAGAGATGATAAGCCTGTGTTAAAATCCCTCCAAGGAGGAATTTACACGGTATTTACTTGACCCCTTACTGAGTCAGGTTGTGACACAAGGTCAGTTTTTAACGTGGGGACCTGGGTGTTTTCACTCGGGCTGCTGGTCTTAGCTGGTCATAGCTTGTCCAAGCTGGTCAGAGATGGTCTAAGCTAGTCATAGCTGGTCCAAGCTAGTCATAGCCATGATACCACCAGCACAGAGACAGAGCCCTGTAACCAATAAGTATCCAAGTGCATACACCCCTCCAAGGAGGAATTTACGTGGTATTTATTCAAGGATTGTTTTTATTTTTTATCAGAAATAGTTCTGTTTAAGAATATTGTCTTATATAGTTCAGAAAAGTGTTTGAAATTTGCATTTTTACTTGCCCTTCAACAAGTTGGCATCTATTTGTAGAACTTCCCTATCCTTTCCAAGCCAATTTATGAATGAAATGTTCATTTAAAATTTTTGTTTCAAATATTTCAAGTAGTGAATATATCTATCTTTGCAAAGCAACAGTGAGCGGGTGAAGCCTGCTAGTACTATATATAATTTTTACATAATTATTGCACTGCATTATAGAATAAGTATATTTAATTAATAAAGATGTTATAAATAAAGGGTATCGCATAATAAAACCAACTTTTATTGAAACTGGATATTTCACCCCAAAATCAACATGTATACAATTCTAGCTGAAACTTAACAGTTGTGCTTGGAACTTTCTAGGATTTTCCTGAGACTTAATTCAACCTGTGCATATCACAAGAGCTTTGCACAAACATGAATATTTGCCCCCCTTTTTGTGGAGTTTGATTGACTAACTCATGGTTGGATTGTGTATACCAGGTTTAGAGCTGTGCATAGGTTGAAAAAACATTTTTTCTTGAATTTCAAGACGAGAACAATATTCAGAATAAATGTATATTGACAATTCC